CACAGGGGATGTGAGAGAAGTGCTCACACCAGAGCAGGTGGATGCTGGAGAAAGCTGTGATCCAGTGGGAGACCTGAATGGAGAGAGAGGGCCCCTGCTCCCAGAGATAGAGACAGAGAGCCCTTGCTCCCAGACCAGAGCAGCCTGTCCTTGGAGGACTGCACCCTGTGGATGAGTGACCCATGCCACAGCAGTTTTGGGAAGACTGTTTGCCTGTGGGAGGGACTTCACCTTGCAACAGTTTTGGCAGGACTGCTGCTCATGGAATTAGAGCCATGCTGGAGAAGTCACGGAGAGCTGTCTCCCATGGGAGGAACCCCATGGCACAGCAGAGGAAAGATTCCTCTCCCTGAGTGAGCAGAAGATCTCAGATGATGGACTGACCAAAGCCCCCACACCCTGTCTCCCTGTGCTGTCAGTGAGAAAGGAGGAGGGGGCTCGGGAGAAAAAAGGAGGTTTAAAGGCTTATTTTACTTCTCATTATCCTCTTCTGACTCTCTTAATAATTAATTTACCTTATACCATTAAATTTGAACCTGTTTTGCCCTTAGAGTGTTTTCTCCCACTCCTTATCTGAACTCATGGGCTCTTTATTGCTTTTTCTTTTTCCTCTTACCTCTGCCCAGCTCTAGCAGCAGAGAGCCAGTGAATGACTTTTGTGGGTGCCTGGGATTTGGCCAGTGTCCAACCACAACAGTTATATATCTGAGTATAGATGCTACAAGGCAAAACACATCACTCTGAAAAAGAGTGGAGCTGTCCTTGGTGAGTGATCTCATACTGCCCTTGAGAAAACCATTCTACAGCTCAGGTGGGAGCTAAATCAATAAACCCTTAAAATTGCTGTTGAATTATACAGGTTAAACTTGTTCTCTAACTTTCTTGGAATGTGTAGCAGTAAACAGGAGAGTCTATTTTACAGCCTCCTGAAGGGCTGGTTACTGTTCACTTTGTGGGAATTTGTAGCTAATTTTTGCTAAAGCCTATGCAGTTTCTCACAGTCTGACTTTGCACTTGCAGGTACAGACAGGAAGGCAAGGTCTCACACTGGGGGATGAGATCTTCCCCTGGACTCTGTCTGGGTTATCCAAGGTCCAGCGTTGTTAGGGTGCACGTGGCAGGGGATGAGGGGCAAGGAGGTGAAGACACCTCACCTCCAGATAATCCTGTGGCAACAGAGAGATTTATTTTCCATGAGAGATTTATTTTTCTTATAAAGGGCATTTTGAAAGACCCATTCTGGATATTCTCACAGGTCTGAACTCCCCACCCCCTGGGGATCTGGCCAGTGAAATGCTTGCAGCTTCATAAGAGATCTGACAGTCAGTCCTGGGGCTTGGTATGTGATGCCCTGTAACACAGCACCAGCAAAAAAAGCTCAGTTGTCTAACTTTTTTTGTTTAAATTAACATTTTTAGCTCCCTCAAGACTAAGCCATTATCAGAGGGAAGTTGAATATAGGTTCAAAATAAATGATGCAATCTATTCAAATAAGTTGCTTAACGTTACATATATTTAAATGCAGTTTGACCATTACTTTTCTTCCTAGTGTAGGAAAATCTCTACATTTACTGCACAGGAAAACAGCTTTAAAAGGGATGAGAATATATGCAAACTAGCTGCTGTAAATATTTCCAGAATCTTTTATTTCCTTTCGGGGAATTAGGAGGATTTTTAAGTTATACCTAGAGTTGCTCAAATTTCAGTTCAATTCCTGAACATCTTTTGAATTTAATTTTTCTTTTAAGTTATATATTAATTTCATATATGAAAATTAATCATGAGTATAGAATTATGGAATCTGATATCTGGAGCATTTAGAAAAGTTTAAATTCTACAGTAACACTTGCAGACTGGTGTTGGACAACTTAAGTGCTGATAATGTGGGAAATTTCTTCAGAGTAAATTTAGAATACTTCAGCATTGCTACAGTAATGCCACATTCCATCCTTTTCAATTTTGATTTGGTTATTTTGGAGATCACTTAAGTGAAGATCACAAAAGCCAATGCAAAGTGTAGAAAAATATGTGACACTCATGCTAAGAAAAAGTGTACATAAAGACAATTTAATGAAGTTATGTATGGTTCAGTATTAATCTAGTAAAAATGTGATGAATACAGAGTCAAGGAAGATCTTTCTCAGGAGAAGTAATATCTGGAACCATCATCTTTACATATATTGTAAATTCCAGCCATGTTGGTGTACCATTCCTTCAAATAAACTTCATCTCACTGTCTTGCTGAAGAATTTAGTTATGTAGCATTTTCTTTCATTGAACTAGCAAGGAAAATGTCATTCCAAGCAGATGTGGAAGGAGAAGGCAAAACCACCAAATAAATATATGGACACAGCTGTTCTGTAAGTTGCATATCCTCTGAGCAGGTTTAGTTCACATGGTTCTTAGTGCATCTCAAGAAGCATTTATGTCACTGGGAGCCTGATAAAAATAAGAACTGAGGAGTGAAGTTCCATTTAGCTCCGTCCAGAAAAGATAGCAGATGCTGGCTGCCAATGGAGCCATCTGCTACAGGAAGAGTTAATGTCTGAGAAAAGGGAAGTCTGCAGGAAGTGAGCTGGGCATTTGTTGTCAGCATTTGCTTTTTATATCTGCTTGTTAGCATAGCTGCATTTCAGCAGTTCTGAAGGATTTTCTCAACAGCAAACACAAATTTGACTGAAATGTGATAAGCTTAGCATTTTATTTGCATTTGCTGTGTTGTAAATTTAGCTGTTTCTTCCCTCCCCATGTAATTCTCATCATGGCATAGTTAGAAAATAGATGGTTTTAAATGTATTTGAAATATTATAGTGGGAAGAGACAGAAACATTAATATTTGCACTTGGTAATGCTCTCCATTATATATTACACTGGTATCTTTGAAAAATATCTCATCTATCTGTAGTTCCCATAAAGTCTCAGAAAAGGGTGAAATTGTGAAGGTAGTGATGTTTATTTATTATTCCAAGTCATTTAAAGATGAAGTAGCTATGGAATTAGTGTCCAAATGCAGGTATGGCATTAGATGGTTCTTTTGTGCTGCATTTGTGCCTCCCCACTTCAGGGGTCATTGGGGGTCTTTGAAGAAGGCTTCCAAAATCATCTTCACCTCTGAACTTTTCAACTTTGTTGTCAGAGCATGTGCAGCTACAGTGTTCCTTGGTCTGTCTGATCCTAACCGGCCTAAATTCTTTGTTTTGTGGCTTATTGGCTTTACATTTGTCAGTTTCTCATTAGTAATATACTTGCCTATCTCTCAAACTGTCCATCTAGTGTGGGGTTTTTTCTTTTTTTTTTTGTCTATTTAGCATTAAGCAAGTAGTTAACCATATACTAACCATTTTATTGTATAGAACCATATACTAACCATTACATTGTATAGAAAGTTTGTATCAGATTATATAAGTATAAAAAAGCTATGATTCAGGTTATATTGATATCAGATTATATTGATGTCTTATTACTCAGGTTGTATAAGCACCTTGTAGCTTTGACCTAAGTTATATAGGCATTATGGGTTACACCACACCTCCATGTGTATCTCTGCCATGTTCATCTTACAGTGGTTATTTATTTGTTTACAAGTTTGGCATCCACCCTGTTTGTTTGTGTATCTAAAAGTTACAGTCTCAAGGGGTTGAAGTCTATTGCGGCATTCACATTCTCTGAAAAATCCCTTCGCCCAGGATTTTTCTTCTGGGAAGCTGAGAATCCTCAGAGAAAAAGGAAAACAATTCTTATCTCATTTGCTTCTTCTCTGTTGTGCTCCATCTGGAATGTGTTTGGAGATTGTTTACCCACAGGTGATTGTTCCATTGGATTCTGCTGTGAGTTGTTTTCACTCTTTGGCCAATCGGGGCCAAGCTGTGTCAGGACTCTGGAGAGAGTCAGGAGTTTGCATTATGAGCTTTTTAGCACTGCCTAAGTGTCCTTTCTGTATTCTTTAGTATAGTATAGTACAGTATTCTTTAATAGAATATAGTATCATAAAGTAATAAATTAGCCTTCTGAGAACATGGAGTCAGATTCATCATTGCTCCCTGCCACGAGGGTCCCTACAAATACAATATTCTATAACTTGTGGTTTTCTTATCTTAAGTTACAAACATGGCACGCTGTTCTTATCTAATACATTCGTCACACCTATTTTGCTAATGCTTGATTGTATTAGACACTTTATTGCTGTAGGAGTTATACTTCATCTGACATTGTGTGAAATTATGTTCTTATTCTTTTATTACACTTTTCTGTGCTTTGTGGCAGCTCTTCTGTTACTCATAAAAATGGCAGCCAGTAAATGTTCTTCCTGTATCACTTAGTGCATGCGGGTTAAGCCCTTGTCCTGCAGAAAAAGCAGTTAGCCAAACCCATTAGCTCACGTTCCTTTCCCTTATCATCTTAGCCCACTTGTTTTTTGTTTTTCTCCAAGAACAGTGAGCATTGGGCATAGCATCCACCATGTGCTTATCACCTGGGGCTTGGCTTCTTGTTTTGCAGAGGCGCTTGCGGTCTAGCACAGCCAGTGACACCTAACTTTTATTAATCTATACCTGATACTGAGGCACTTGTGTTAAAGGAGTCCTGTGTTTCATTTACCAAGTTATAATAGATCTGAACTGTCCTTACTGATGTCTCAAAACTTCATACTTTCAAACTTTTCTTTCTTGTATGGTATATGATTTAAGGTAAGAAAAATCTCACACTGTCACTCATGCTAAATACATTCCTTTATGTCTCCTGTTCACCACAGACAATCCATCATTTGCAGTGTTTCAATCTGGTAATTTGCTCACTCAGAATCAGGACATCATTTCAATGCATAAAACATCTATTCATCTAGATTAGGAAAAATTAAGTTCTATAGGTGAGCAAGGGGACATAGTCCCCTTGAAATCTGTACAGGGTGTTGGAATTGATTAAATTTGGATGAAGAAAGATATGTTTAAAGTTGCATTGACAAATGTTTTGAAATTTTCTCATGCTTTTATTCTTTGTGTTAGACAGGGCTATGAAGAACTGGAAAGACAGCTGAAAGAAGTCTTTAAGGAGAGGAGCAACATACTTCATCAACTGTTAAAGACTTCTAAAGAACTTCAGGGAATTAAAGTAAACCTTCAGGTTAGACTCCATCTCAGTTTCTATAAGATTACTTACTTACCTCAGCATTTTCTTATTGGTGTCTTTTAATTACAAAAAATGTTTCTTTTTAATGTGTGAATAATTACCATTTTGTTTATTTTGTTGATCTTCCACTTAACATAAACCTGATGGTTTCATGGAAAATTTCATCCTAATGTGTTGGGGCCTTTGTCAACTCAATAAAAACAAAGAAAATATGAAAATAGAACATACTAAAATGAAGGGAAGTACCTGAAATATGCAGTATTAATGGAGCTGACACACATTTGAAGCATGGACTTCAACTAATTAAAGCTTAAAAGAAGGGTATTTTATTGCAGCTCTGGACACATGGGGAATAATTCCCAAACACATGTGCAAGGAGTTGCAGACTCCTGCCCTCAATTTGTACAGAAAAGGTTTTACATATCCAAGTGCTTTCTAAGGACACATAATACATAGTCATTACCTGCCCACTTTGTATTATAATCAGCTGAATATCCATTGTGGCTGCTCAATTATACTCCCTTAACTGGGTGGGTGGGATTTTGAAATAGGGGAGTGGGTCTATGGGAGGAAGAAGGCCATCTTCCTCATGGTGAAGTCTTTACCTATAGCCACTTAGCAGGACCTTTTGCCTTCCTGGTCATGGTCCAAGCCTCTCTGAACTGTTTGATTATTCTTGAGGCAAGGTATTTCTATGGTCTCTGCTTCTTCACAGTTGCTTCATCTGTCCTTGTCACTTCTAGCTTCTCTTTCTTAATATATTTGTTACTCTTTAACTAAGCTACATGATCTTTGCTAGCTAACTTAGTTTCTCAACTAATTTTAATATCTTAACTAAGCTATGTAATCTTCTACCATGCAAATTATATTTCCAGCTGGCCCCTTGACTCTCATTTGTACTGGCAGCTACTGCAAATGATGGCCTTTTCTGTTGCAGGCTGAATTCCATACACTCACCTTAATTTAGTTGCTCAGTTTACCTTTCTGACATGCCATCTCAACAGTCTGGCTGGATTTACTGCAGGGCATTGCTTTACAAGTTCAGCTGACAAACTGTGCTAGATGAGCCTGCGGTGAGAGCTGAGACTTCTCTTCATTTTTAACTTCTGGATGCCATGGTTAGGCTGAAAGGGCAGTAAAATAACTCTGAGCTCCCATCAGCTCCTCAGAGGAAAAACTAGATTGAAAATGCTTTCCTGGATTTGAGGTCCAGATATTCGGCTGAGGGAGCCCCTGTTTTTTCCCAGTAGAGTCTGTTGGTCTGGTGAAAACATTTAGACTATTATCAATTGAAATTGGTCTCTGTATTCCATTTTAAAGGAAATTATTTTTCTGACAATACATCTGTGTCTTCATTGATGAAAGCTAGCTGGGAAACATAAAAGGAGAAGAAGTGCTCTATCTGTTCACAGGAGAATACTAGTGGTGTGCATCACTGCTGTGCTGCATTATAGTATTATGTTATATTTTCTTATGTTCCAGACTTCTCTGGTTTTAATTATTCAACCCTTTGATCTTTGGGGTTTTTGGTTTGAGAGGTGGGTTTAATTTGGGGTTTTTTTGAGAGCTTTATCACCATTATTGTAGGCTTTTTCTTACTTTTTAGAGAAATATGCTCCCCTTGAAGCAAACTTATTTTAGAATGTAGCACAGTTGAAGGTAGTATTCAGCAAAATTACACTGTGAAATATTTTAGACTCAACAATACAGAGATCTTGATGTGGACAAAAAGCTGTAGTATTATCTTCTGCATATACATACTTACTTGGTCATAAAATTCTAATGCTTTTGGCCATTTTTCTGTTTCTAAATCTGCTTATTGTATTTATTTCTCATTTAGTATTTGAAAAATACACAGCTGTGTACAGTTAACTATGTTTGAGCTACAGTAAAGAAAAATCAGAGTATTCTTCCAATTTTCTTAAGTGGTAATGTCTGCAATTAACCAGGACCATTTTATGAATGAGGGCTAAATATTTTCACAGATTATTAATAAAAAGGATCTCTTTAATACAGGGTTTTTTTTTTTGTTGTTCCTATTAGTCTTTAAAAAATGATGAAGCATCAACCAAAAGTGATGTACAGAAACTTCTGGAACTGGGCCAAAACCAAAGGTAAGAGCCTCACTTCCTTCGCTCTCCTTCCATTTCCTGTCTAAAAGCTGTCAGACTAGCAAATTCCACCTTTCCTTTTACTATCTAGATAAACACTGCTGTATTCCAGAGTCTGCTAATTGTGACAGTAAAATAAAGGCAGGAAGTACTCTTTTTGAAACAAATTATGGATTTGCTGATACTGGACATATGATAGGAAAATGTATGGTGAAATATCTGTGACGAAAAGCATTTTGAATTTTAAAGGAAGATTTAGTCATGAAGTATTCCTTTATAAAATAAATTCAGGATTTTTAGAAAATTAAATTACTAAAGTGTCTAAATCCCTAAGTTTGGAGATGATGACTTTTTCAAAGCTCTTAATTAAATGTTTGTGTGTGTAGACACTCAGAGTAGCTAGTCCATGTGCAAACAGGAATGCATCACTGGATATTTGTGATGAATGGAGTTAGAAAGAGAAAGAAGTACTAATTCTTTCAAATTATTCATTGAGCACTTAAAAAATTAGTTCCCATGGCTGGGAATGCAAGTTCCCTGCCTGGTCCTTAGTTTTAGTTTCCCTAGAGCTTCATTGTGAGTAACTCTCATCATTCTGTGTCTCCTAATTCTTGAAATTCAGCCCAGCAAATAGCAACATCAATACAATTTTAGTAACCAGAAAACATAACTAACACAGTGACCACTTTTGCTGGAAAAATAGTATATAATGAGTGCATCTACACTTTGTATTTCTCCCTAGGAAAAATGTTTAGTAAGAAAAATTATTGAGTTCATACTTCCTTCATTGTTAAAAATGCAATAATTAAATTCCATGGCTGTCTTACCTGTACATTCACTGTAGAAGTACACATGGAAGTACATATGGAATTGCATTGCTACATAGAAACCTTGTGAGAAAATTACCTTCATTTCTTAAATATCCAATATATAAGGTCTGCAATACAGTAACAGTAGAATTTCTTATTTTTACTGTGATACATAGCAATGTTTCAGGTATTCCAGACAAATATATTAAATCATAAAGGAAAGAATTTAGCTACTGTCCTGTTTAAATACTCAGGTGGCTTTGATGTGACTGAAGGTGTGCATCTCAGCATCATAGCTGTCCTTGGCACAGACAAAATCCTCCATCATACATGAATTGAATAAAAGTATTAATGGACTGTTTAGTAAATAGATCTTAGTTGCAGGTGGGAAAATTGAGTCTGCTAAAAGAAAATTTTATTACATATTTCAAATATTCTTCCTAATCTCCTCTGTAAATCACCACTTGCAGTCTCTCAGGTTCCACCCAAAAATACATGTTGACTTTTGTTTCTAAGGCATCCAGACATTGAGTGTACTGCACAAGAGTAGCACACTCCATCATTCAGGAAATGAAAAGTTTTTACAGTATACTACAGGGAAATGCTTTGGGGCTGCTACTGTTGCCAGCAGTTTACAGACTTACTAGATTTAATTTCCAGAGAGGTGTAAAAGTTCAACGTATGAAAGAGGTATTAAAAATGTGCCAGGGAATCTCTCTTATGGAATTTCACTAGGGAAAAGTCACAGTTTATTTGCCAGGCTTCCTTTTATCTGCAGTAAATGAAGAAAAATGGTAAGTATTATGCTTAAATCTATTGCATTGAAGCCAAAATTCAAAATATATCCTAGTATTATTGTTATGATCTTTCTTTGAACAAACATGAGCTGCAAACTTGGTCTGAGTGTGACTTTGATTATATTCTACAATGCTGGATGATACAGTAAAGTTTAGAGTACTAGAATTTCAGCTTTTGTAAGTACATGTTCTGCTGACTTCAAAATATTTTTTTTAAATTCCTTTTGTGCAAATTCTTCAATAATTCCCAAGTTGCAAGTAAAGCTTGATCACTTACTATGATGTGCCCAGTTTTATTCTATCTGTGTATCATCAACACTGAAATGATGGCATCTGTTAGTGCTGATGGTATATTGTTTTCATGCTGCTCAATCACTTTTTCACTTAAATCTCTTCTGTTCTGGTGTTGCCAAAATTGCTGAAAATAGTAGGGGTTATCAGGTAAAAAAGAGATGATCCAGCAGGTAGCAAGTTCTTTTAAAATGATGTGATTCCCATTCAGTTTAGTTTTCACAGGGCTAAAATATTATATGTTACTGTCTATAAGTCCAGTTTTGGCTTGATCTTCATTGAGAGTTTATCCACGAAAGCAGCAATCCTCCAAAAGCTCTACAGCTGTCATGAAATATGTCATTTTACCTCATTGCTGCATCTCCAAAGTGTGCCACATGCTGTGGGTAGAAAACTCTCACAATTTGGACAAAATCTCTGACTGAATCAGTAATGCAAAGGGTTTTCAATTGATTCAAATGAAGCCCAATCCAAGCACTTCTCCTGTTCTTTTTTCTTTTTATGCCAGAATCTTCTACTGGATTTTTTGTTGCTTGTCCCTAGAAAGTGCCATATGAGGTTGAATTTTATCAGAGCATGATTTATTTGTTTATTTTGAGGTAGATATAAACTAGTTCTTAGTGATAAGAAGTGATAAGAGTATTTCTCGATGTCAGTGAATTTTCACTTGCCTACTTTCCTCGCTGTTTTGGTGCCAATCATTTTTGTTAGAAATTATGCACTGGCAGATGTTTTGCACAGCAGGCCATTCAGCAGATATAAACAGTGCCTACTTTGCATCATAGATAATTTTGGCTTTGCACTGGCACTAGACTTCATGGAATCCTTATGATTTAATTTGTGAGACTCAGAGACAAAGTACATCTGTTTGCTACTCTGAATAATTAAAGGTCCATTTTTGAATCTGAATAAGTATTTCCTAATGGTCACTTGTGTTGAAGTTTGTGTTCTGTGTTTTCAATAACCTAGGGAAATTAAATCTCTCCAGGAAGCTTTTCAAAAGCAGCTTAATGAGGCAGCTGAGAAAGCAGAGAAGCAGCAGGCTACTGTGAGTGATTCTCTTTCTTTCCTTATTTTTGTTTTTTTTTTCCTGTTTTATCTTAATCTTACCTTGAGAATTTATTAGCTCAAAAAACTTTGTAAAAAAAGAATGGATTTCACATATGTGTTAGTACTCTGCAAGCTTCAGAAGAAAGGATCTGGAAAAAGTTTTAATGTTCTAAAATATTAAGATTCCTGTCTTCCCTTATTTCTGTGGAATTTAGGGATGTTTATACACTTTTGGAGACTTTAGACAGGAAATTCAGACCTAAGTCCTCTCCCTGGTGAGATGATCTTTATGGACCCTCGTGTCTCATCTATACTAATATGGACTGTCATACATCTATTGACTTTTTAGGAATTACTATGATTTTCAGCAACAAAATAGATAGTAGAGTGTCTGATTTTGACCACAGTAGAACTAATGATCACTCTGGAAGGTATTATTAAGTCCCATTAAGATTTCATGCTTTATTGAAATTCTGTTTCTGGACAAACTGCACAATTGTTTTGACTTTCATGTAGCAGTGTAATGTTTTGGGGCATAAATCGATACATTTTGCTACTGTAGGGGTAAAAAAATAGAATCATGTTTACTAAGATGAAAGAAGGAAACTTTTCATATGTTGGTTATTAATATTCCTGTAACATGGACAAAACTGAGCATAAGTTGACTAGATAATAGTATTCAAACCTTAAGTGTTTTGTGATTTGAACTCTGGGTTTGAAAACAACCTGCTTGAAGTGTTTAGAGATCTATTTTCTATTTCATATTGCATAACTACTGGTTTATTTACTAAGATTTTGCTGTCTTCCAGGGTCACAAAGCAAGGGTTTGTGCAAGACAGAGGGTTAAATGTAACTATTAAATTCAGCAAATATTTACAGTGCCTTATTTTGTATGACTGTGATTTGTATGTGGCTTTATTCCCTTGGTGAACAAAATGTGAGAGTGTATTCTAATTAGAAACAGCTTAGACTGGGGACCAAACAATTCCTATTGTAGGTTTCTTTCAGTTAATCTGATTTTTGAAAATACATTTTTTTCCCTTTGTTGCTCAAAAGTCTAAAGACTTTTTGTTCCTGTGTACCACACAACATAAAATTAGTGTATTTTTGGTACTTGTATTTTTGTCTAGAGGAAAAAAAAAAGAACTTTTATCCTCTTCAGGAGTGAAAATAAGTAATCTGAAAGCTGTATTGTATTGGAAATCAAAGGTGACTCCGACGAAGGGGAGAGAATGATGTATCTGACTCCATTGATCTCAGAAGGCAAATTAATTACTTTATTATACTATGTTATTCTATACATGTAAACTGAATCTGCCAAGCACTCACCTGCTCACACTGCCCAGAATCTCGTGGCTGTCACCCACAGTCCCCCCCACACACACACCTGGCCCTGACAGGCCAAGGGAACAGAACACCATCACTGTGGGTGAACGATGATGTGGGTGTGGATTACATAAATCTCAGATATAGTGAATGGATTTGTTGGTGTTTGTTATATAGTGTTGTTTTTTTTTATTTGAGCAACAGTGCCTTGTGTACATTCAGTCCTACTCTAGCACTTTGAAGAGTACAAGATTTGTTGTACACAAAACAATATCTGCCATTAACTGTGAGCAAAATATCACCTGGTGTAGAAACCAGGAAAAGCTCCTCTGAGTGTATAACAGAACCTGGCTAGGAGTCATGGCAGATGCCTAAAGAATCAGAATTCTCGAGCTGTATTCCAATATTTGACACTAATAGCATATTAAACTTGCTAATAATTCTAAGGAAATCAGAACTGTGTCCTTGGTTTGCGATTTACTTCTCTGTGCCTCAGAGTACAATGTACATAGTGAAGCTCAGCAGTACAGTGAGACTGGATGAATATTCAAAAAGTACCTCAGGATCCTCAGATGAAAATTGCAATAGAAATGGAGATGGATATTATTGCTGACACACAAGGTTATTTTATACCTGGTTTCTCTGAAAACAGTGTGAAATCTATGAAAGAAGGTTAAAGTACTTTAATGCAAGACTAGTGAGAGAATAGGAGCTTGAATTTAATTTAAATTTAATTAATTGTGAAACTTGTTTCTAGTCCAATTTAAGAACAATTTATATTATAGGACTTGGTGAAATAAATCTTGATTTTCATCAGAATAAGTGAAAGTAGAGTTACATTTCACAAAGACTGATAAAGCACTGGTGGGAGGGGGAAAGGTGGAAATACATTTTTCTGCATTTGTGCAGGAGGCATAATACAATACTTGCTGTATGTATGGCTGCATAAATTCAACACCTAACACCTGCCTGAAGGTGTTCTTTGTTATGTCAATGTAAAAGTGTAAGTAAGAATTCACAAGAATTAAGTCAAATTAAATGAAAAATAACTGGGAAATTACTCAAGGACTTTGACCAAAGCAGAAGGAAAAAGAAGTCATCACAGCTCTACATTAGACTTGATGTTCATGTCTTCTTGTGCAATGTGTGGCAAGGCTTTTCACTAGTGTTGCATGAATGATTCATCAGAAACAGAGATATCAGTGTTTTTATGCTCACATACCCATTTTTTTCACCCTTTAAGACTAGGCAAACCAAGAACTGTGGGCAGCAGAAATGTTCCTGTTCTGAGCAGCTGCTGAAGTGTTGGTGGGTACCACCTCTGGTTGGTAGAGTGGAGCTGCTGCAGGGTGGTAACAACCCTCTGGGGATGGAAGCAGCAGCTCAGGCTCGAGGAACACAAAAGCATGTGTAAAGACATTTCTGTCCTTCAGAGCAGGAATCCTACTGAGGGCTGGCCTGGGGATCCTAGCAGGAGTGAGCGCTGCCTTTCTGGACTGTGTCCTGCACCTGTAGCACTAGCAAAGAGCAGCAGCAGTTTGTCTTGGGACAGGTCTTTCCTAGAAAATTTATGCCTATTGTTTCAGCTGTTGTGTCTGGAATAATAAAATGTGCAGAGAAACACTAGAAAAACTGTAAGGATGGTTTAAATTTTATACAAGTCCTACATTGCAAAATTCAAGGTCAAATGCAGTCTTCCAGAAAGACTTGGGTTATGAAGGAGCTTCTCTACAGATCATCTCACACTATGACTGTGGATTATTTTTATATCTAAAAACATTTCAGAAGGACCATACTGGGTTTAGTTATACAATATGCATATAAAATACGTATGACATCATTCCAAATAACTGATGTCCTCTTTAACAATCATTAAAGGTTGAAAAAGTTTTTTCTTCTGCATTTAGCATCAAATGCCTAAGCAATTTGTATTAAGTTTTCATGCAGTGAAAAAGTGAAAAAAATATTTGTAATGTCAAGCTATTATCTCTAAATTTGAAGTGGAGCCACTTCTTGCAGAAACACAGTTGGAGATCATGGACTGATTTTCACTTTTGTTAACAAAAAGTCACAGAGCAAATGGCACATGTAACTTGAGAGTGTCTTGTTTTGTTTGTTTGGGGTTTTTCAATGAATTTGAATAAATAGAGTAAGTATTGATTCTGTATGTCTTCATTAGGTTAAAAGGCTCTAAGAGCTTTTGGGAGACTGACTCTTTGCTTGGCTGTACTTCATGCTAATGTATGCATGTTAAGAAATAGTTACATTTTTAGCAAGTTTGAAAACTTAATTCCCATTAACTGCAGTTAAAGTTTATAGAAAGAGCTGGCTGGCTCTGGATGAGGAAGAAGATAAAGGAATATGGAAACACTCAAAAAAAGTTTGAATAAGTAGAGTAAGTTTAATCTACTTTTTCTATTTTGTTCTGTTTGTATTTTATATCATGCTACCAGTTTTAAAGAAGGTATGCTAATGGATTGTTTGGCAGTACAGTTACAGTACTGTCTGTCAAAATAAAGGAGAAAATTTGTTTGTGTAATTTCCTTTTTTGGTCAGTGTTCATTATGAGAAATAAGAATTAAGTAACAATATATATATTACTTATATAAAGGAACAATAAAAAATATGGGTATTTTAAAATCAGTAGGTTTTTCTAGTAATAAAAGGTTAACAGAATGTGGAGAATTTGATTCAGTATTATCCCCATATCTGGAAGATTTTTAATAAAAAGATCTGATGTTCTTTTTCCTTCAAAAGTATTTATTTTTTCTAGTAAAAGCCTTTATAGTTATTCATAAAGTCCTAAATGTTCCTTTGACAAAAGTTTCATTTACTAATCAAACTATAACTTGCAGCTTAAAAGTTACATTCATCTTAGAAAGACTAATAGGTGAAATCTATTTAGCTTTGCTTTTTAAAGTATTTAGCACTCTGTAGAACACTTTTTGCCCAAAGGAAAGAATGTTTTCGATGTTTTACATAATAGCCTAGACAGTTCCCTCTGGCTTTGAAGTCAATTTTTTACAATATATCTTGAAAAGTGGACAAGGAAAATGAGCACTGAGTATGTGAGGGTTTCCGGATATGGCCAAAATAGTCAGGTGGTAATGAATGAATTTCAGTTAAACCTTAACTGCTCATTTTAGTCCTGAGCAAGATACAAGTCTGAAAGTAAGCAAGTTTAATTACAGCTGAGTCTTGGCTGTGCAGTAATGATGTTATATTGGGGTTTTACTATCCTGTCATGAATAACTACTATTGTCTGACTCTTACAATTAGATCACTACCATCTGCTAAAGCATTCTCTATTTTGATGGGGGAAAATTTAATTTAAACATTTCAAGGTCACCAACTGCTGTGAGTAAAGGCCACTGGATGGAAACTGTTGTTTTTAATAAACATAATGAGCTCTGAAACACACAAAGGTCTGAGTACCTTGAATGACTGTCTCCAGGATATGGAAGCAGTGTCCTTGCTTAGTACTGAAAAGTTCAGCCTTAGAACAATCTATTTTCATTACACACTCTCATAATTGCAGCCAGATAGCAATTAAAGGCAGACAACATGTGGAAAGAAGTGAATGTTATTTTTTTCACTATTAATTTAGAGCTGGGTATAAGTGTCTATTGTTGCTTATTGTACTATCAGGATTTCATGACTGAAAGGAGAATTTTTGCATCTCTTCTGGAAAATTGTATTATGCCCTGTCCTTGAGATTTACTAAAGGCATCATGCAGATCATTTGCTTGATTTGCCTTAAAGCATGAAGCTATATACACGGGTACACTTAAATGGAGAGCTGAAATTATCCCTTTAATGGCTCTAGGAGACAAGTCATAGAAATCCCTCCTATGTAACTCTCCATATCTACACTTTGTGACTGGGTGGCTCTTCATTTGTTAAAGACTTAGTAGAAGACCCTTAAAAGGCTGTTATAATTTAAAGGCAAAAATTAATGAGTTCCTAAATAATACTTCTATTATTTTTGAAAAAGGAAGTGATGTAAAAATATTTTTTTAACTTTTAATGTGTTGATTTTTTGGTTTTTCAGCTAAGCTAAAATGGTGTGTTTGCACTATGTAAGATGTCCATATCAGTGATATAAGATGCATGTGTATGTGAATAGTAATCAACAAAATTTAACCAACATAGATTACTGGATAAATGTATAGTACTGGACTGTCTTAAGTGTCTCTTCCCTAAAAGATCCAAGCTAGGTAGAGATAATAATTTTGGTATCACATCTCCTTAATTATTTCATATATATTCATAGCTAGAAGTGAAGTGCCTTGAAGGAATATTAATATTCCTGAGAGAAAGATGTAAGAAAGGCAGCACTCTTTAATGGAGGTCAGTATATATATATATTTTTTTTTTTTCAGTATTTAAGGGTAGGTAGCTGGCAATTCCTTTGAACAGCTGAAAAAACAAAGGAACTACAATAAATAGCTGTATTGTGCTTCTCCCCATTTATCTTGATCTGATATTTTGATTATGACCTTTATTTTTTTGTTCTGAAAAATATTCATATTAATTATCTAGACATGTTCTAAATTTCAGTATTTGTGGATGTCATTACTAGGCAGGTGCTGAATAAAGCATCATTCTCTGCCAGTAGGTGGATGTGAAATCAGTATTTCCACAATCAAAGCACTTAGACAGAACTTTGGAAGAGTTTGTAAAAGAAGTTCTGCTTACGTATGTCAGGTGGCAGTAGTTTCATGGACCCCCTGTCTGCATTTCTGCCTGAAGTGATGATAGCATTGTCTGACTTGGCTTGTGATACAGGTGAGAGTGCTGTCAGTTCAGTGATGTTCTTTAAATTCCTGACATATCTACTTGAGTGTGGACATGATTATAAGAACAGCTGTCACATCATGTAGATTCGGTGCTCATTTTTTTATGTCCTTGACACCCAAACCATTCACCTTTTGGTCAATGTCTCTATAATCTGAATCTGTTTTCTTACAGGAGTTTTGTTTTTCTGCTGCAATGTCAGAATAGCTGTAGTTTCCTTTGACTGTGGGTAGGGTTTTGTATCAACAGCATGGGACATAGGGTGAATGGGGATGAGTATTTTGCTAATTAAACAATACAGAAATGTGTTCTTCTAATCCTATTTGTTTATAATGATGTCCTCCTTCCCCCCATTGCAATCCATAAGCTGTGATTAAAGCTCAGTCTCTTTACAAAAGACAAAAAACTCTTTTGTAAAAATAATTTTTTTAAACTGTGTTTGATTAAATTCAGTCTCAAGCCTTGTGACTGGAATTTCTACTTTCCAAGTCAAGTCATTGACTTAAGGAGGATCTAAAGACCATATTTGAATGTTTTCATGTATAACACACTTTATTCCACAGGTGGCTCTGACTGGAAGAAAGGTCTTTACCTAATTAGGACCAGCACTGTAGCATTCACGTGAAATAACTGTGCTAGAAACCTGCTCTGATAGATGTGTTCTTAGAGGAGAAAATGTTTTTGTTAGAAAATCAGTTAATATTGTTTTAAAAATCTTCAGTTCTTTGATGATCACATTGAACTACCTTGTGAAAAATTAACACTATGTCTACTGGTACAAAACAAACGTAAACCTATTAACATACAGCAGTTTTCTTCTTTTGATTATAAGTTTTCTAGGTAATGTGCTAAATGTTTGTAGATTTATCAAATACTTGACTGTGGCCTATACCAATTTGGTGTGTAAGCAAAGTTTTTTGATTTGGTGATTGGGTTTTTTTCCAAAACTTTTAAAAGCATAAAAAAATAATTAGTGTTTACAATTACATCTCAACAACTCCCACTCAACATTTCTTTAAAATTGTAGATTAACTTTTTGAAGACTGAAATGGAAAGGAAGAGCAAAATGATACGAGACCTCCAAAACGAGGTAAGAGGAGCATTTGATTGTCATCTCAATTCAGATGTCTTGTTGGAAGAGAGTCTGGTTGGGCTTCATCTGTAAAGCATGTTATTGTAGTAGGCAAAAAAGGCACCAGTGAAATTCTCTGAACAGAAAAGCAAACAAAAATGGCTGTGTGCATTTAGAAATAGTGTTTTATTGATTGCAATGGTTGACTCCATGCTAGTGGTGCTTAGTTTGATAGCACACTTCTGTAACTTTTGCTGCTTTTTCGGAAAGGAAGTTCTGTAGGTTACTGACACAGAGTGAAACTTTGTTCTTACTGCTTACTTTAGAAATAAACAGCAAGAGGAGGAGAAGGGAAATTCAATGTCAGAACTAAAATTCTTAAGAAAATTTAAAAAAAACTCAGACTCCTACAATGTTTTTTTTAAGCTTTGTGTGCCATGAATATCAATCCTATATTGATCCCAAAATTCCAAATAAAATATATAACATGTTTTAATTAATGTTTATTGGTATTAAACTGAATTTATTTTGAAATTTGGTCTTGGAAAAGAAACATGAAATATTTGAGCAGCATTGTATTTCTTTTCACCCTTATCCCTTTCTCTCCACACAATTTGCCTAAATCAGGATGTAGTTTCTCTTTCCATTCCTTCATTTTGCTAAGAACGTTGCACTTGAAAATATTTTATTCATAGGATGCCTTGTTCTCTTGCCAACCAGGCTTCTCATCTTTATCTGCTTTGTTCAATTCTTTTGCTTTTCTAAACTACTCTATGTGTATGAAAACTTGATCTCTTTAAAGCTGCCATTTAAACAGGAATCTCTGATTTCTTTGGTCTGTGAGATTGTATAGATATGGTCAATCTGAAAAATGTCTACATTGCTTTTTAAGTCATAAATGTATCCTAGTTTTGGAGTAATTTTTTACAGTAGTCAGGAAGGGGGCATGGCTGAACCATGATGTAATTTGATACCATCTCACATCACTTGCCAGGGGCAAGAAGAGGGGACTCCCTCGTTTTTGGTTCTGTTTGAGAGAGAAGAGCATGGTGACTGAAATGGTCTGGTACTGTTTTACTTTCCGTGTAATTTGCTTTTCTTACACCTTTTGTTATTAATATTGTTGCTGTTACTGTTCATTTTCTTACCTTACTGCTATTTCTAGTAAATTGTTCTTGTCTCAACCTGTAGTTTTCACCTTTGTGCCTCCAATCCCCAAATCCATTGCTGGAGTGGAAGTGGGAGGGGAAGGAGGTGAGCGAGCTGATTTGGGAGAGTCTCACTGGGGTGCTGACCTGGGGAGTTCTGCTCCTAAACCACAACAACAGGAAATGTCTCTTTCAGTCCTTCGTGTTATTTAGGCCATGCTCTCAGTTTCCTTTACCTACACTCAAAAATGCCCTGCTTTCTGTTCTCACCTGTTATCATTGGATGCTTTGCAATTGAGCCTTTAGACTCTAATAAATCAGATCGGTCTCATCCTATTGAGCAGTCATTAAAAAATCTGTTCTCTTACTGAACACAAATGCATCATTAATCAACATTCAAACTGTCTGATAATGATTTGCTTAGGTAGGTCAGTAGACTTTTCTAATATTTACCATATTTATAGCAAATTTTAGAAAATCTGCTTTGAAAGGAATCTTTCTTTTTGTACCAGCTATTATAAAATATCAGCTTTTTGTAGAAAAGAAAAATTATGTAGAAAAGAAACCAAAAGCTATACCTACCTAATGGCTTTCTATTAAATTTTTATACAATGTTTGTTAGTTCCCTGAAAGTAACCACTTATATCAGTTTTTTGGAAACTTGACTGAATTTAAATTATATGATTTTCAGGAAATGTTATGTTATTTAGGTCCTGCCTCCAAACACTGAACACATGGCTTTTGAAAATCTCATAAATTTGGGTGTGCTATATATTTAAATAATTGATAACATTTTATGTGTAGGTTTTGAAACAATAATCTGCATACAGCTATATATAGAGGTAGATAATGAAAATGCTTCCTTCATAGCTGCTCTTGTTCTTTCAAATATTGCGTTCACCCTCATTTTATATTGCCAAATTGTGAATTTTGCAATCTTAGGCTCTTCTGTGACTGTAAAAATAATTTCCTATAGTTCTGCCCTTTCAGCACATAGGGTAGGGCCATTCAGCTTTGCCTTTTGGAGATACAAATAGATGGCAGCAGCCTTCCAGCTGAATGCAGCAGCTGTCATGTGGTGTGTGAGGAGAGGACATTGTACAGAAAGGCAATTCTTAGCCTATTCAAGGCTTCGGGGGAAAAAATAAACAGAAAAAAGATGTCTGTGCTATTGAGGAAAAAATGTGCCAGGTAGAGCACAAAGGGATCAGGTGTCTCAAAATCATTTGGGTCTTAGAAGTCTTTAAGTGCTTCCTGCAAATACCACAAAATAGCTGTCAGACTTCCAGCTGTAACATCAGGTGGATTATGTTAATTTAGTCTCAAAGGATTGGCATGTAAACAGATGTGCTCTTATTTCAAGCAATTTCTGTTATTGACAAAGAAACTTAGAAGTTTGGAAATGCAGAAGCACCGGTAGAACTAAGAAGCTTGCAAAAATGTAGACTAAAATAGTAGAATATGTATAAAAAGAGATAGTTTAAAATTTTCACTTTTGTAGATGGCCTGTTATAGAGTGAGGAGCTCACTTCTAGCATATCGTATGGTTTGTGGGAAATTGTGCCTGTATTGGGTCTGATAGTTGCTCATATTTGCCAGGAATATAAGCCTGTAAATGTTTCTATTTAAATCCTGAACTGCTGGGATTTTGGAATGACACAGCTTTATCATCAATGGGGGTTTTGGATTTTGAGAAATAATTATGGATAATGAGACATGCAGCTGTTGAGCAGTAAGTTCATTAAAAGATTGTTTCTCTGAAAATTCAGCTGCTCTTGAAATATGCTTTGCAGATAAAAATAGACCACTTTTAAATAGTATGCATAGTCAGCTGTAGCTCAAAGAAACATTCATGAGAAGTACAACTGCTGTGACCTAGACCCAGATCTTTACAATAGTTCTGAAAAGTATATAAGCATGAAAGTTATGAAATTTCCTGGCTAGATGCATTACTTAGATTGTCTGCTTATGACTGAGAGACTTATATTCAATTTGATATAATTGGACTGGATAAATTGGATTTTTATATCCCTTCTTTTCTAAAGAAGTATTAATGTGAAATCTACTGGCAGTCAAATTTTCTTTCTTGTCCAAAGCTATTAATGATTAATTTCAAGTAAAAAAAAAAATCCAGTAGGTGTTGCATTGAAATAGGTAATTTGGTTGAATAAAAAATAGATGAAAAATGAATCCACAGGTTTTTGTGTGTATTCTGTCTTGTCTTCAATGATTTTTTTATTTTGTGCAAGATGGAAAAACTTTGGAAGAGGGGATTAAAATCTCTGTGCTTTTTCTTTCATGAGCCAGAAATACAAAAAAAAAAAAAAAAATCAGGACTAGAGCATCTCTTTGAAAAGAGATGTGGAAGTATTGAAGCTGCACTCATTAAGAAGCCAAGCTTGGATCTTGCACAAGCTCATTGTCATGCAAGATGCCAGCTCTCATTCTGGGAGTCTGTGAGCTGAAGCTGAGCTGCTGAATGCTGCTGAGGCATGACCTGCCCAGAGGCACCTTGTTAGTAATTTGGGGTTTAAATGCTGGAAATTGAAGGACTAGGGAGCAGAGAGAGAGAGAGAGGAAGAGAGAAGATGAACTAGAATGCATGTGTTTAAAGCATCTCTGAGAGTGGCTACAACTTCTTGGGTGTCACTTTGGATTTTCTATAATTTTGGATTTTATATAATTTTGAAAAACACAAATCCAGTAAGACCTGCTGTCCAACACTTGCTTAGCCTTAAACCACTGAAATTCAGTTAACTATTTTCAGCTAAGCTGCCTGACTGTACAACAATTATTCAGATCAATATTGAAGATTTTTTTTTGCACTGCTTTAGGGTTTTGTTTGTTTTTTTTGTTTGCTTATGGTTCTTTCCCAATCCTTACTAGCTAATTTTACTATTTTCATGTCACCCCAGAACCTGCAGCTAAAGACCATAGTTGACTTGCTTGGTCTTTTGCTTTCTGTGTAAGCCTTTTCCAATGACAGAGCCAGTCAACAGCAGCTGGGCTGTTCTGCATCATTTACCTCCCCGAGCCTTTTCAGACGAGGCATCACTCACATCTGTGTGTACATGGGTTTTCTTCATGTGTTTGTATTTCTTAGATACATAGAATGGGTTGGGTTGGAAGGGACCTTAAATATGATCTAGTTCAAACCTCTCTGCATTAAAATTTCGGTGTTTAATTCAAGGCCCTACACAGGAATGATGGACCTGGTGCATAGTCATCTTAAAAAACCAGACAGACAAATTAATCACTTCCCCTGGCCTCCTTTTGGTCTGACAGTTTGGGTTTGGTTTGAACCTAGTTTTGCCATCACTTGTGATGTCCATGTGTCTTGGGTTTCTGTGGTTGAGATGTCCCCAGGGTGTTAGAAAGTCTCTTCTTTCCCAGCTCTGCGACTGAAGAAGGAGTCGAGATTCCTCAGCTCTGCTTTTCAAGGCTGTTTATTTTCTCTTATCTGTTCCATTCCTTCTCTGACCTGCTGAGATCTGTCCAGCAGGTCGGGTTGTGGCACAGTCCCTGCCCTTGGGGTGGTGTTGGCTTTTTATACTAAGAACTACATGCACTTTATTTAGTCTGTCTCGACTCTAAACCAATCCAGAAGTGTCACCATCACAGCAGAAGATGGAGGACAAGAAGAAGGACAGGACACCGGACACGCCCAGATTCCTCCATTTTGCCTCTTGAACCCCCATTCTAAAACCCCAAAATTCTACTTTTTCACCCTATGACAAATTCACTATCATTCTATTCAAACCCTTGTGGCCTGTATCTCCTCACACAAAGTTGGGAATTGTTTCCATGGGCTATAATTAAAGGCACAGGTGTTTGTGACTCTGTGCCAAGGTCCCTGAGCCCCCTGCCAGG